TTTAATGGGACAATTGTGAAGTATAGGGGCTTGAGAATAATCGACATGCTAGAGGGTATTAGGTGTTACATGATGGATAGGTTCGTAATTAAGTATAACATGCTGATGGACTCCCCGGATATGTTGTGCCCTAGAATTAGGAAGAGGGTAGAGAAAGTAAAGGAATTTGCTAGGTTGTGCATTGCTAGGCAGACATTGGTGGATAAGTGTGAAGTGAAGATGGGTGAGAATGGCTACATAGTGGACCTAAATGATATGAGTTGTACATGTGGATACTGGCAATTGAGTGGGCTGCCTTGTTGCCATGCTGTCTCGGCAATTTCACATATGAGGAAGGAGGTGGACGATTATGTACATCCTTGTTACAAGGGCAACCATGTCGAGTTAGGCTACAGGGTTGGCATCCCTTGCTTAGATGGCAGGCAGGCTTGGCCAGATGCTATTGGTCTTCCAATTCATCCTCCGAAGCAAAGAGCCATGCCGGGTAGGGCTGTCAATTTGGGCCGTAAAACCCGGACCGTTTTAAGACCGAGACCGGATGTAAAGCAATCCAATCCCGTCTTTGTTCTCATAATTAGCAAAAAAACCGATGATTAAAAACATATCAGACCAGGACCCCCTGCGGCCCGCCGGCCCATAAGAGCCCATAATGACTAATTGACTATTGTTTTTGTTTAGAGTTGGAAACTTGCAGAAGGGCGCCTCTCTCTCGTCCACGTCCAGTCGTCCTCTTACTTAGTTTGGAGCATTCCATCATCTGCAGGCCGCCGCCAGCCCGAACAAAGCAGCCCGCCGCCCGCAGCCCGCCGCCCGCACCCCCCTCTGCTCCGACAACCTCTGCTTTGACTTAGGTCACCCAATTTGCGAGTCAACCCTTGTCGTTCCCGAATTGGAGCGCAGAAACACGCTTTTTCAGTAGAGCGTCCATAATTCACGAATTAACATGAGAGCGCGAATTATATTTGAAAGTTCGCGAATCTCTTGATGAAGTGAGTTTTATTAGAGCAAAGGGAGAAAATTCTGTCTGGCTGGCCGTTTATATCCTTCCACTGCTGAATCAACAGTTGTTGGTTCAATCCTGTCTTTTTCTTCCCGTAAACTAGTGTTCCCAACGAATGAGCATATTAGAAAGCAAAGAGAAGCACTTCGCATCCCAGCCAGCTTGCCGTTCTATGGCCTTCCGAAGTTCCGATGTCGAATCGAAGGTCACCGAAACAATCCTTTCTTCCTCCTCTGGTCGAATCTGTAGTCGTCAACACAAATCATTCTCCTTCCGCCTACGAACTAGTGTTGTTGAAGTCTTGTTTATCAATTAAAGGTTGATCTGTGGCTGTTGCATGGCGAAATTGATCTCCAGAAAAGTTGAGAATAAACAGAGGTATGTATCGCAGAAGAGGTAGAGGGAGAAAGTAAAGGAAGAAAGAGAAGAAGTTTTGTGGTGAGCGAGCGGTGGGTGAATGGGCCAAGAGATAAGGGAAATTAAAAGAAAAAGAAAAGTTAATATAATTAAATTTCCAAATAAAATAACTTTAAATATTTATCAGTCGTATAACTAGAAATTAAAACTTAAAAATTAATCATATTTGTATCGTCATTGTCTGTATAAACGAAAATAAATTTTCTGTGTAGTATTTTGGTACTAACTACATTTTAAATCATTTATGAATTTTCCGCAATAGGTTCAAAATGGGTCAAAACAGGAAAAAACCGGTTTGGGACCAGACTGGGTCAAAACCGGACTGTACCCAATCCAAGTTTTGGTCCCCATAATTCCAAAAAGACCGGACTGGGACCGGATCAATTCGGGCCAATTTAACCGGACCGGACCGTATCGCCACCCCTAATGCCGGGAAGGCATAAGAAGAAGCGACGAAGGGCCGCTCACGAGTTGGAAATGAGACCTCAGCGGAATGGGGTTGGCGAGGAGGTAACTAGAAGGGGGAGTATCATACATTGCAAGAAATGTGGTGGTGAGGGGCATAACTCGAGGGGCTGTAAAGCTACAGCAGCTGAGATTCAGGTATGCATGAGTTTGATTGGTACATGTAATATTTTACAATTAATTGATTTCTTACTAACATTGGGCCATTATACTTTTCAGGCTAACACTCGGAATGAAGCAGGAAGTGCTCGAACAACACCAAGAAGGGCTTCTCGCACTAGTGGAGGAAACACTGCAGCCCTTACTGTTCCAGCTGGAAACAACGTTGCTGCCCCAACTGTCCCCGACACAAGGAGGAAGCGATTTCTTCATTTCTCTAAGTGTCAATCAGCGACCCATAATGCGAGAACCTGCCCCCTCAACCGAGGAAATGGAATACATGTAAGAAAACAATAACGAATACAAGTACCTCTTATTGAATGTTAGGATAATTTGAATGTTGTGTGGAATAATGTGTGGTCATTTTAATTCTAGGATGTTGTGTTGAATGTGGGAGATCGAAGGACTATTGAGCGTGAGATGCGAGTTGCAACAAGAGGGATAGGGGTGTATGTAAGTGAGGCAACTGGGAATCAGTACATGAGGGTAAGATTGAGTTATGCTCTTTCTTTGGAATGATGGTTGGTACCCCATTGTTGTGAGTTTTTGCTAACTTCATGATCTGTTTCAGTTGAATGGATCATGGGGTCGTCCTGCTGGAGGTACTCAGCCAACTGAGATGGATGCCCAAGGAAGCCAGCCGCCTCCGACACAACCTTAGATGCCAAAGTCACCATGAGTCACATTTTTGCTTACAATGCGTGTTATGGATGCACTATGTGGAGTTTTTTTTTGTTATGTGACTCGTGGTCTATGTCCACCTTGTCCACCTTTCGGAGTAGTTTTAGTAGCTGGATGTTAGGATGGCAAACATTGGATGTAATGGAAATTCTGAATGTTAGTAGATGGATGTTAGGATGGCAAACATTGGATGTAATGAAAATTCTGAATGTTAGTAGATGGATGTTAGGACGGTAGAAAATGGATGTAATTTATGGTATCTCCTTTGGTTGTTAAGTCCTGCCTTGTTAAACAGATGCATCAGGTTATGAATGTTAAGGTTTGCCAATTCAATACATAACACTAACACTAACTTGCCAATTCAATTCATAAACACTGCATAGCTTGCGAGAAACACATTACTTGTCATAACAATACATAACACTAACTTAGAACACATCATCCTAAATCATACTGCTGCGATTGGCCAACACTACGGCAAGTAACACTACATTCAACAAAATAACAACGGCGAACATATGTCGAATGACACGAACATCATTGTTAACCTTCCTCAGCTCTTGGACGACAATTTTTCTCTCCTTCTTCCTCCTCTCTGCCTTAGCCTCAGCCAACCGTAAATTCTCTTGTAGATTAAGAATTGTACTGTCTATGCCAGAGTTCCTTGCATCGACTTCATCCACCGCCCCATCGAACCGCCTAAAAAATTTGCAGTTCTTTTTTGGTTCCTGCATCAACAGAGTGTATGGTCACAACTCTCAAACATACACAACTGGAAAATGAAGATTCTCGCAACCTCCTTTACCATCCAAAACTTGCATCCGTAGAATCTCCTTCCTGAGTTGGACTCAGTACAGGCTCTATTAGTCACAGCAGGAACATTGTGGTAGCAACAGACTAGCCCAATGTTGTTCTCGCTTCTGGAAGATGACCCACCCCGGTGAGACAGTACGAAGACGAGGACGCCGCGGAACGAGGAGAAGGGGTCTTCGCGGATCTGCAGCGGTCGTGGGTGGCGAGTAACGGTGAAGACGAGGAAGGGGTCGTCGCAGGGGTCGTCGTTCACTGAAAAGGAAAGGCTAGGTCGGCGCGAAAGGAAAGGGAGGCGTCGTCGCGGGGGTCTTCGTTCGCTGAAAAGGAGAGGCTGGGTCGGCGCGAAAGGAAAGGGAGGTGGCGAGGGGGGGGATCTTCGTTCGCTGAAAAGGAGAGGCTGGGTCGGCGCGAAAGGAAAGGGAGGCGGCGGAGCGGGGGACGTCGTCGAGTTCGAGTGCGGCGGAGCGGGGGAAGTCGTCAACGAGTGCGGCGGGGCTGCTTCAATCGGCTGAGCTTGGTTCGTCGAGAAGAGTAGCTGCTGGGAAACCCTAAATGGGTTTGAATTGGGAAAATGAAAGAATAAAATGACAGATTTTTTTTACCCATTAAAAATGACGTGGCATCCCACCTGTCAATAGATGCTGAGGTGGGAAGGAAACACACGGTGAGGTGGCAGCCACATCATCTGTCCGTTAAATAGACTAACGGTGTCATTGACGCCGTCAAACTATTTAACGGAAATAGCTATATTTGTCATCGAACTTTCAAAATTCTGGCTATTTATGGTATTTCGCTAAAAGTGGCTATATTTGTCACAACATTCAAAATTTATATTTGTCACAACCGTCAAAATTTTGGATATGCAAGTGAATTTGGCCTATTCACAGAAAACAAATGTGAACAATTATAAAAGTTTGGGCGCGCGGGAAATAACAACCCTGTAAATTTTAAACCGAAAGCTAGCTAGCTAGCCTTGACTCTTGGATTAGCAAAATCGTCATCCCTGAAATGCAGTCCGAGCATCTCAAGGTAGCGAAAGATGAAGACATTCATGGTTTCTGTATTCTAGTCTAGCATTCAGTTTTTGACTTGTAGTAGTTGGCCACTACGTAGTCGATAGTGAAGTAGTCTTGGCCGGCCGGCCGGCCGGCATAATGACCACAAACCCCCAATTGGAGTGTGACAATTGAAAATTTAGCATAACGATATTAATGTAGATCACATCAGTATATATATGGTATAGCTAGAAAGAGACCTGAGAGCTATATATATGTATAATCCAATTGCAGCATTAATTAGCTCTAGCTAGGCAGCATAATAAGTATATTATTATTATTATTATTATATTATTATTATACATCCATCCAAATTAAACTCGATTGAGGCCCGGCCCGGCCGGTCCACACCACAATGGCTCTGCAGCGGGCAATGGTGGGGCACAGCAGCAAAAGAGAAGATAGAGAAACTGTTTGAGAAAGGCGATCATCATCATGATCATGCTTCAGCCTCGGCGTACGACACCGCATGGGTGGCAATGGTTCCATCTCCCAACAACAAGCCGTCGTCCCCGCAGTTCCCCGGGTGCCTCAACTGGATACTCCACAACCAGCACAAGGACGGCTCTTGGGGGATTCACCCTAATTTGCTCCGGAAGGACGCACTCTCCTCCACTTTAGCTTGCGTCCTCGCCCTCAAGCGCTGGGGCATTGGTAACCAACATGTCCACAATGGTACGTCTCGTAGCGTAATAATTAATCATTGTGATAAATGAATGAGAAAGAATCTTTGATTGATTGATTTACTCATCTGCGCTCGGATTTATGGAGCGGCAGTCGGGCTGTCTGCGGGATTCGAGGCAGCAAAACCCCGTCGGGTTCGACGTGATATTTCCGGCAATGGTTGAGGCCGCTGCCGTGGATTTCGATCTCAGTCTCCCACTGGACGCCGGAGTCGTAGACCCTATGCTTCGGAAAAGGGACGACTGGTTGCGAATGATGATGACGACTTCTTCTTCTTCTTCGCGTTCCAAGGGACACAACGCCTACCTGGCATACATCTCGGAAGGGATGGGGAATTCCCGACGCCACTGGCAGACTGCGCTCAGCTTCCGGCGGAGCAACGGCTCTATTCTCAACTCGCCCTCCGCAACCGCCGCCGCCTTCATTCACCTCCGCGATTCCAACTCCCTCGATTATCTTGCATCAATATTTGATGATGATCATCTCCTTCTCCCCGCCGCCGGAGTCGCAGCAGGTCTGGTCTAGTTTTCGTAACGAGAATTTCTACGTAAACAAGAAATTAAATACTAAGTAAATAAAATGATTCTTAAGATTATTAATTCTACAGTTCCAACCAGTTACCCACATCAAGTTCAAACTCGGCTGAGCCTGATTGATGGAATTCAGAATCTGGGAATTCAACACCACTTCCGCGACCAAATCAAGCGGGGTTTGGATGAGATCCATACATGCTGGGTGCAGGGAGACGAGGATATATTCTTGGATCCCACAACTTGTGCCATGGCATTCAGGATACTCCGACTCAACGGATACCCAGTTTTCCCTGGTAATTAATTCATCTTTCAAATTAAAATAAATAATTACTATATATATATATATATACGCCGCAATTATTATGAGGGATAATTATTTATCCGGAGATAATTATATATGTAATCACACTAAACATCCGTAGCATATGCCCCAAATTCGATCTAATCTACCCACTTATATAAGGAGATTCTCGGTGAAGAGTGGGTTAAAACAAAATTAGGAGGTCTGGCCGCATCACACGGAAGGCCATAAAAGTCTTTCTGCATTATTTATTACCTCGCTGAGGGTTTGGTTGGGCTTCCTTTCTCTGTTTATTGGTGAGAATTGGGTTTTGTTTATAGTTTTAGGATTGGGTTATAGTCTATTGCTAATTATCCGCCCACAAGCCCAAATCATTTTCTCTGCAACACAAGTCACATGTGATGGTAGAACAGTGAGATTGAGTAATTTGAGTGAAAATCAATATGAATTTAAAATAAAGTAGCATTCCAGATGATATCTCAATATTAATATACACACTAATATAAAATAGTTTTCCATAATAACATGATAATTTTAAATTCCCCCAATGATTTTAGAAAGGATGACTTTGTCTTTTTAATTAAAAAGGCACATAAATTACCATCGATAGGAAGTTGATCCAATGAGCAACTCAGTTTTGCATAACCATTGATAACCATCATTGAGAATTCATGAAAGAAATATAATTTTTCCTCTAATTAATTTAACCAAACTAGATCTCTTTGGTTTTAAGTGGTAATTTATTTTGTAACATAAAAATCATATTAATTATGCTATTCAAAATAGCATCTACTTTAATGTATGTTGGGGAAAAAATGGAGACATATATTACAAGTTATACCATGATGGTAACGTTTAATAGTACAAAAGATTATATCATAGTAGTATGAAAGTGTATCATGATAGTGTGAATAAAATATAGTGTAGAATTGTGAGAATTTATTGCATAACCCCTTTTAATCTGGCATGGATATCAGGGGCTGCAATTCTGAGTTTTTCAATATCCATCCAATTTAACATACATGTCTCATTCGTTTCATCTTCGATTTTTAAAAAATTGGATTAAAAATAATATTTAATTGAAATCTTTCAAAGAAAAGTTGAAAAAGAGTATGACGAGTATTTTTACAAGAATTATACACCAACATCAAACAAAACACTAGCTAGGTAACAATTTACCTCTAATATTCCATTCTTTTTTCTCTGTAACACATGTGATGTTAGATCAGTGAGACTGAGTCATTTGAGTCAAAATCAAATTTATACGAACTAAAATAAAGTAGAATTGAATAAAGCTGTAAGATTATATCTCAACAATAATATAAAGTAATTCTCTATAGTAACATGGTTAATTCCAAATTTTCATTAAATGATTTTAGGAAGGATGATTTGGCAATATGATGTTGAGTTGGAAAAGACACATGGCAGTCAACATTCCAAAATTTTAGTAATTCATTAAGAAAAGAATTATGAAATTATTAACGATAACAGATAAATAATTACTGATTAGTATATTGATGTGTTACAAAATATTTGGCTAATAGTTTATATTTTGGCTAATAATTTGAAAAGTTAGAAAGGTTTGACAAATAAATTTTATTTACCTATAGACATATGATGTATCTTCCTTTTTATATTGGTATAAACGAATGGTTTGTACTCTTTTATGATAGCAAATAATTCAGATAATTACTAATACTCTAATTCTCTTTATACTAATAGGAATGACAATAGGGCAGGTCCGGGGCGGGTATCTTGATACCCATACCTGCTCAATGGTAGGTCGAGTAATTTATCACGGGTTGCGGATCAGGGCAGGTCGACCCAATGAGTATGTAATTTATGCGAAAAAACATTAAAGATATTCATTATTTTCATTAAAAAACAAAGAAAGAAACCATAATTTGATAAAAATGTAGTTAAATTATTGAAGAAATTGAGGTTTTCAATTATTTACAACTTTATTATAATTAAAAATATAATATAATAAGAGAGAAATTCTAAGTAATTTCACTAAGATTATATGTAATTTAAACAAGAACGGGTCGAGAATGGGACGGGTCAGGGCAGGTCGGGTCGATGAGAGGTACTCATGCTCACCCCATCCCGCCTACGGGCCGGGTCCGACCCGCTCAAAACAGGCCAAACAGTTCAGGTAAATTGGGTTGGGTAGAAATTGTCATTCTTATATACTATTAATATAATGTTGTTAATCCGGCCAACGGGCGGGCCCTAATCTAGTATATATTATGTATTTATCCTGCCTGCATGCATGCTGTTGGCTGTTGGCTACTGTAGACGTGTTTAGTCGATTTACAGAAGATCGGTTCTGGAAGGAAACGATGGAAGGATATTTGGAAGATGAGAAGGCCGTGTTGACCTGCATGCATGCATACTATTATATATAGTTTCCTTTGTCTATATATATATATATATATATAATTTTTTATTATTATTATCGCAGGTGGCTTAAAGAGAAAAGGTTGGATGAGCTTAAGCTGGCGAAACCGAAAATGAGCTATGGTTACTTCCATGCTCTAGCCGTGTTCAGCGACCCCGACCACTCAGATGCACGTAGTATATTTTGCAAACATGCTAGTCTTGTGGGTCTTATTGATGACTTGTTTGACATTTATGGGACTCCTGACGAGCATTTGAATTTGGTCCATCTTCTCCAGAGGTACGTCTGTAATTATATGATAACAATTGACGTGATTATATAATGTAGCGCCTACTCCAAGTAATTTGGTTGCTGTGGTCTGTATTTCGATGAATAAGAAATGTTTTTTTTTTCCGGTTCGATTTTAGTAAATCTAAATATTGGGAATATTTATTAGATGTTAGTAATAATATCATAGTTCGAACTCCATTTAATTCATGATATAGATAGATATAGTCAACTTAAAAGTAATGAAAGCATATATACAACATGATTACAACCAATGTAGTAAAAAGTACATTTTTTATCTCTCCAAATATAGTCATTTAAAAAAAAAAAAAATCTTTTTGCCATCATTAACTTAATATATGGTTTTAAGGAGCTCTATAAGCATATTAAAATGCTTAAGGAGCATGTCGGCCATTCGCTGGGCTGGTCAAGTGATTTTTCTGGATACAAAAGGTAAAGTGAATAAGTGATCATGTGGGTGTACGTAGATGGAATTAATCCTCTTCCTATGAAAGATGATGGATCTTGTTAGTGGTAGTAATGATTATGATGATGGTGATGTTGATGAGAATGGGATACGAATTTTGATGTTGAAGCCCTAATGTAGTCTTAAATTCACAAGAACCTTTGGGATGCTTTTATGTCCAAAATTTGGATATTTAAGGTTGTTTATCAATTACTGGTCATGCTAGCTAGCTAGTGTGCCATTACAACGGGTCTTCTATATATGTTTGTTTATGAAATTCTTGTTATGTGTTTATTTTACTGTTAGAGCTTTTCAGATTTCATTATGTAGATGAAATATGACATTTCATGGTTGTTTAATATTGGGTACACCTATGGTGACATGCAAGACACCATGACTTGCACAATTCGGTCGACCTATATACTTATTCGATCGACCGGTTACCCTATCTTGGTCATTCTGATAGAAACTCAGGTGACCATTAACATATAATAGGCGACCGATTTAAGGTAGTAATCACCAAAATGGTCGACCACAAAAAAAAAAAAATTGGTCAACCGATTTGATGCAGTCATAAAATAAATGGTCGACCACAATAGGAAAGAGGTCGACCTTTCAATTTAGTCATATACAAAATGGGGGACCGTAAAAAAAGAGGTTGACCGCTTCATGGAAGTCATTACCAAAATGGTCATTACCATATATGCAATGAGTTCGACCATTTTCAGGAAGAGGTCAACCAGATAGAAGAAGGGTCGACAAGACATCAATTCATCCCTCTTGAAGTAAAACGTAGAGGAAAATATTGATTTTGCGGTCGACCGATTACAGTAAAAAAAGCCTGCAACCTTTGAATTGTATGCTTATGTCTGTCGAAATATATACTTGTTGGTCTAAGAAATTACGATAGAAACCAACAAATTCAATAGACAATTACAATAGCAAGAAACCATAATTTCTTAACACTTTAACACTAACACCAAATACAATGAAACACATTTACCTAAAATCGAAAACCAAAATGGCTTAATGTCAATCCACGGTCATAGTTGCTTTAAACCAAATCATTTTTAAGACGTAACAAATTTCACAACAAAAAACACAATCTAGTCATGGAGTTCTTAGACCTCTCTCCTCTCACTCATCCGCATTTTCCTCATTAATGTGGCTAACATTATGGTAGTCGGACGTGGTGGGATGCATGTATCTTCCACCGAAAGATCGGAATTCATCTCGCATTTCTGTTACACTCACCTTTAGTGTGCTCATGTGGTTGGGCTTCGAGCTATGGTATTGTATACTAAACTAATATAATGGCTACTAATACCCATACTACCAAACGGGTATTAGCGGATAACATGTGGGTGCCCAATGTCAAATTTTTTAATCCCAAGTCTCATCACGTAATAAATATTACAGGTATTTAAGTATACGTAACCCTCAATAAACGGGATGAGTATGGGCATACCCCGTTGCCCGCCCCTAGATAATTTCGAGTTCGATGTTAATAAGGTAATGCAATAGAGGTCGACCCTTTTAAGAATGAGGTATACCATTTAATGAACAAAAAGGTCGACCTTTTTAATGTTTGCTTGCCAAAGAGGTCAACTATTTTATGTACAAGGTTAACCGCTATGTTGAACGTAACAAAACAGTAACCGTAGATTTGGTCGACTTTTATTACTTTGCGGTCGACCTATTTGTGTAAGTCACGGTGACTTGCAAATCACCATAGCAAACTCCTCTAATATTTTGTAGTATTTGTATCTAACAAAATATAGGTTACAGTCAAAAGATTTAGAAAATTTTCATGATTCATATAAGAGTACTTTTACTTTCTGTTTTATGCTTAAACTTATACATTTT